CATAAAGCCAGACAGCGGATTAGTGGCTGCCTGGGGCTGGGGGTCGGGAAGAGTGGGGAGGGACTGCTTTGGGGGGATGAAGATATTCTACATGAGATAGTGGTGATGAATGTCCTAGGTATCATTGAACTGAACCCTTAAAACAGTTTAAAAATAGCTGACATGGTACATTTTAAGTTAGGTGTATTTTACCACAATTTTAGGAAACAAACAAAAAGACACCAACATAGGTCAGATGACATCAAGCCCTCCTCTGCTGAAACCGCCCACTGCCTTCCTGCCACGCCTGCGGTAACATGGGAAGCCTCCCTTTCCTGTCCCTTCATGCCTTTCCCAAGCCCAAGGGAGTCCTTCTTCCTGACTGCACCTGTGGCTCCTTTCGCCTGGGCCCTCCCTTTGCTGCACATACCAGTCTATGCCCCCTCCTTCCTTCAGGTGTCCCTCACAGGTCATCTCACGGAGCCCTCCCTGTCCTGTCTAAAGCAGGGGCGCCTGGGTGGCTCAGTCGTTAAGCGTCTGCCTTCGGCTCAGGTCGTGATCCCAGGGTCCTGGGATCGAGCCCCGCATCGAGCCCCGCATCGAGCCCCGCATCGAGCCCCGCATCGAGCCCCGCATCGAGCCCCGCGTTGTGCTCTCCACTCGGTGGGAAGCCTGCTTCTCCCTCTCCCACTCCCCCCGCTTGTGTTCCCTCTCTCGCTGTGTCTCTATCAAATAAATAAATAAATAAAATCTTTAAAAAAAAGAAAGAAATGCCAGCTGAAAATTAAAAAAATAAATAAAGCAGGACTTCCAGCCGCTCTGGTCCCCATGCCTGCTTTCTGTCTTGTCATAGCTCGCATCTCTACTTCCCACATTATATGTGTCGGGACTTATTGTCTGTCTCTCCCACTAGATCATCAGCCCCGCAACGGTGGACTCTTTTGTCTGCTCTTCCCCGTAGTGCCCACAGCACCCAGCACTGGTGCCGGACCCAGGAGGTGTTCGGTAAACATTTACTGCACGGCTGAATGTTGAAAGGAAGTGTGAGAGGTGGGACTGCTCTCTCTCCCTCTTTGTACTTCTCTCTCTCTCTCATACACACACACTTCAGATGAAAACACTGAGGTTCCAAGAGGTCCCATCATTTGCCCAAGGCCTACAGCACGCAAGCATTGGAGCTGGGCTCTAAACTCAGGTCTCAGGGCACTGCCATCTGTAGAACCTTTATCCCATGCAGAGAAACGTGGGTTGACATGCATACAGACACACACCTTTCATCAGTGAATCCACATGCATGCAGTGATGTGGATTTCTTCATTCACTGAGGGCTGCCACACATACGGTTGGGCAGGTTGGGCACTGCGCAAGATCTGGTTGAGAGGCTGGAATCCAGCCAGGCTCTCCTCCTTAAGGCGTACTGGTGGGACTGCATCCATCTGGGGGAAGGGGCACCCTTTAGAACTCACGCAAGGTTACCATCTGCCTGCCAAACCACAGACGCAGGGGAGCTACGTTGGGCCAGGGGGTACCTTTGTGTCATTGGCATAAAGGCGCTGTATGGGCTAGCAGTTTGCCCACTCAGTCCCCATTCTGTGCCAAGCCTCCAGCTGAGCTCCATGGACATAGTTCTTCCCCCTGCTAACAGAGTCCCATTGTCCCCTCCAACTGCACGTGCACGCACATGCCCAGGAAGACACAACTCCACACCACTGACAACTCTGGGGAGTGGGGGCCGTGGCATCCATCCCCTCAGACCCAGTGATGCACCCAGACACAGTACACACAGCACATCTACAGTGGGGGGAGTCATGGCCTCCTGTCCCTGCCTTACACCTCCTGGACGGAGGAGGACACACACCCAGGGACACAGTGACCTGTCTGGACACAAGGATACAGGGGGACCCATTCTTACCTTGCCTCACACAAAACAACACATAAACACACACAGCATTGTATACACACAATAACAGAGGACACCCGCATGGTGTGCAGACACAACACACAAGGACACCCAATGTCATCCTGGTGGGTGCACCTGTAGCCTCCTCCCAACACATGCACACAGCTCCACGTGGACACACGGCTGTGCACTTCTGGGCATTTCCACCCACAGTACACAAGACCCAGACAATCTCAGACACTGCGACACATGGGGACCACACACAATTCCGGAATACAACGAGGGACCTGCCCAAGTCACCTCTATGCGGACACACAACCAGACACATGCCAGCCCACGGTCAGGCAGCCTTGTGGGTGCACACAGGGGCCAGCACACCCTCACCCAGCGGTGGGGTCCGGAAGCATGCATGTGACACCCCCCACACACAGACACAGCCTTCTCGCACCCCCCCACAGGCACTCTCCTCCCCCACAGCTGGAGAGGAAGGGGGCCCTTCACCCCAATGTCCTTCCTTCCTGCAGCATGCATCCCCAGCAGCCAAGGGCCAGGGCTATGGACCCCAGCACTAGCCTAGGACCTGAGAGGTGGACAGAGGTCAGGGAAGCGGACTCGAGAAGGATTTCCAGAGCAGGCCCTGCTCGGTTCCTGGGCTCCTGGAGACCTCACAGTGCCTGCATAGTCCTGTGCCCCACACTCCACATCCCACCAGCTGGGGATGGGGGCCGGGGCTGCGTGGGGCCAGGTGAGTAGCCTCCTTCCTGAGATGTGTGGCTGCAGAGAATGAGAGATGGAGAGGATGGGGGGGAGGGACAGGGACAGGGAGAGAGTCTCGGGAGGTTGGTGGGGGGAGAGGCAGAGAGAGGAGGAGAGAGACCCAGGGAGAGGGGGACAGAGATGGGGGCAGAGACCCAGAGGGCAAGCGGGGGCGGGGGGAGACAGACACTCATAGGAGCGGCACCGACACACTCACAGGAGGACACTCACAGGAGGGGCAAAGACACTTGGGAAGTGGGATACAGAGATTGAGAAGCCAAGAGAGAACGAGAAAGAGCGCGGAGAGAGAGAGTGGGGGAGGACAGAGACCCACAGAAGAGTAAGACCCAGAAAGAGAAGACCTGGCCTCGGGAAACCGGGGGCTGGAGGGGTTTGCAGGTGGCAGCAGAGGGGGGCTGAGGGTACGTGGTGGGCATTGACACATAGAGAGGGTCTGGACACATGCAGGGTCTGGGTGGCGTGCAAAGGGAGGGGATCTGAGGCATATCTGGGGTTGAGGGGACGGTTTGAGGTAGGGACGTGGAAAGCAGGCAAGAGGAGGAGAGGATGTGGGTTCACCGGCCACTGCAGCAGAACAGAGGGAGAAGGGGAGGGGTCCAGATGGGCAGCAGGGATCCCAGTACTGGGCACCCAGCAGCAGGGACTCAGGGATGAGGACCCTCCACCAGGGGCATCCAGCGGCCTGCCCAGCCTTGGTCCCTGCGCCCCCGCTCCATCCCCAGGTCTTCCTGTGTTCTGTGCCTCTCTGACTCTGGGTGTCTCTGCATCTCCCTGCCCACCTCTCCTCCCGGACCCCGCCTCCCACCGGCCCCGCAGGCCCCTCGCATCTCTGACGGGATCTGCCCTGGGTCACGGTCTTCCGAGCCTGTGTCTCTACATATCTCATCGCTTCTCTGCGTCCCTGAGTCTCTGTCCACCTCCCCACCCACCACGTGCTGTCCTGTTCTCTGAGTCTCAGTTTTCTGTGTCCCTTCTTCCCTTTGCCCCGTCTGTCTCTGTCTCTCTACATCCTGTCTCTGTGTCTCCCCCCAACGCCCAACCCCCACAGCCCTATCTCTTTGCCTCTCTGTCTCTGTCTCTGTCTCTGTCTCTGTCTCTGTATATCTCTTTCCCAGGTTTGCTATCTACAGATCTCTTCCCCTCTGAGTATCTCTGTGCCCCCCACCCCGGACCCCAGTCTTCCTCCCTGGTCCCCCTACTCTCACTCAGGCCGGGGTTGGAGGGGCGGGGTGGGGGGGGCGCTGCAGCGGGAGCTGTGTGTTCCCAGCGCAAAATAGACTCCCGTTGCCATGGTGACGCGAGCGCGGCCTCCGAGACGCGAAGCATCAGGCTGGGGGGTGAGGAGGGGGGACACCTGGATCCGGAAGGCGGGGGCCGGGGGCGCCGATGCTTGTCCCGGGGGCTCCTGGAGGAGGGGGGAGGATGGGACTCCTAGGTTCCTGGGGAGAGGGGGTGCTGGGCGCTCTGACGCCGGGTTCTGGGGACCCGAACTTCTGGGAGGGGTCTGGGATCCCAGGATTGGCGGGGGTGGGTGGGGGGACTCAGATTCCACAGTGGGGGGCGGGCTAGTTGGGAGCTCTGACGCCTGGGTCTATGGGGGATTCAGAGGTTGCCTTCTCAGGTCTCCAAGGTGGGGGGGGGGCGGGGAGCAAGGACTGCAAACCTCAAGGGGCTGAGGGGCCTTGCCTGGGGGCCCTTGCCTGGGGGCTCCGTAGAGCCCGGGCCCCCAGGTCTCCGTGCCGGCTGCAGAATTCTGAGAGCCCCCATGTGGATCCCAGGCTTCTGCGTCTTAGGGGAGCAGGAAGCACTCAGGTGAAGCCGTCTGTCCTTCCCGGCCATCCATCCATCCATCCATCCATCCGCATGCCGGTCTCTTCTTCCTCCCGTCCCCTTGTCCCCAGTGCCTCAGTTTCCCTCTCCGCACCGGGGTGCGGTCGCGCTCACCTCACTTTCCGGATTCGGGACCCTTGGGGCGTCGGGGGTGGCGACGGCGTGGGGGGCCGGCCGGGGAGGCAGAGCGAGCGCGTGTCTGCGAGCCAAGCAGCTGGGCGTGTGCGCGCGCTGGTGGGGGGCGGCCGGCGGCGCGTGGGGCGTGCGACCCGGCCGGCGGCTCCCGTCGGTGCAGATGCGCGCTGGCTCCCGTGCAGATGCGGCCGCCGCCAGCCTGCCTTCGCCTGGCGCCGGCTGGGAGCGAAGAGGCACCTCCCCCTCCCCACCTGCTGGGACCCCTCTTCCCCCCACCCGCGGCCCCCACTCGCTCCCGGGACACCCCCCAAGTCCACGAATGGTTCGGTCCACAGCCACATCAGTGTTTATTCTGCAAGTCCGGGTTCCACAGCCTGTGACACTCCCTCCCCTGCCCCTCCCCACCCCGTGAAGTGGCCCGGGGCCTAGCCCCACCCCCAGCTCAGCTCAGCCAACCGCCACCCAGCTTCCAGGAGTCTTATTTGCATTTCCGGGCGCTTTGGTCCAATGGCAAGGTAGCGCTCCACCTCCCCTCCAGAGGAGGTGGTACTCCCGGTGGACTGCACCACTCTTGGGAGCCAAGGATGGGGGCGAAGCGATTCCACTGAGGTCCCGCTGACAGGAGGGTGGTCTTGGGGTGAGGAGTTCAGCGGAAGAGGGGGTTGGGGCCTTGGAAGACGCCCAGCAGCCCGCTGTCCTGGGCAGGCTCCTTGATGATCTTCTGGATCTGTAGGGGGAAGAGGAGGGTTCAGGAGGCGTCAAGAGTTCCCATCTCTGTGACTGATGTGGAGCGGCACATCTCCATTTCATATGCCTTGCCCCCCTTGGCAGCAACTGGCCAAGCCAACCACTCCCTCTTCTCGAAACTTCTCCTTGGGCGCCCCTCCACCATGGCTGCCTGGGTGAGCGCCTGATCACCCGCCATCTTGGTCTGCTTTGCGGGCTTGCACCAAGGCCCTGTCCTGGAGCTTCCTGTCTATACCAGCTCCTGCTTAAGTAATCTCACCTCTCCCATCCCTCTCAACCTCCAAATCCAGCCCATGCCTTGCCCCTCAACTCCGAACTCATTGATCCAACTGCCTCTTAGACCTGGGTCCCCACCTGACCTCTCAAACTGACAATGGTCTTCCCCCAATCTGTTGACCACAGGGGCACAGACGCTCAGCCCCCTTTCTAGGGCTGCCTTCCCCCAAAGCCCCACACCGCACCCACCAGCAGGCCCCACGGTGCTTGCCTCCAGAAAAATCAGCCCAAATGCACCCCCACTGCCCCCACTTTGGTCTCCCTCCTTCCTGCCACCCCCCAACATCCACGGGCTACCCAGAACCAAACTGCAGATCTGACCATGGCCGGCTCCCTTGGGCAAAACCCTCAAATCTGTGAGAAGAGGGGGCTCCGGCTCTTCTCTGCCTCTCCTCCTCCCACGCTTACCATGTCCTGCTCGGTTCTCTGAATAAGGCCAAGTTCAGCCCCACCCCCAGGCCTCTGCCCTAGCTGTTCCTTCTGCCAGGAACATGCTTTGGACGACTGGCCGCTCCTCTGACTTCAGGTCTCTGCTTCAAGGCCACCCCAGGGAAGGGCCTCCCTGCGAGCGGCACCCATCTTATTCCTCACACAATCTGAACATGCCCTTCTAGCTTCTGGCCACAATGTGTAACTGATGACAGACGGGCTTTGGCTGTCACCCCAGGGCCTGCCACAGAGGCCGGCCCATAGTAGGTGCTTGACAAATGCTCAATAGAACTGAACTAGGAGGAGGGAAAGGGCAGACCTTGGGGGGTAGGCGCCTCCTGCCACCCTCAGGGCTAGCGGTGGTGGCTGCGGGGACTGGAGGAATGGACGGAGAAGAGGGTCGCAGGGCTCCCATCGGCAGCGCCTCTGCCAGACTCTTTGTGCCTGTCTGCCCCCCCTTCCCAGAAGGCCTCCCACTCCACCCCGTACAGCCCCCCTCTTTTGCACCCTAGCCCTCCCAGTCCCCTCGCTTGCTTTCCTGCTCTCCTGTCCTTCTGGCCCCCCGAACAGCTTCCCTCAAGGAATGTAGAACTTTGCTCGCCTGGAGGCGGCCGCCTGCCGTGTTCCCAGATGTATTCTATCAACTGATAGGTGGTGGGTGCTGGAAAGGGAGGCGAGGGAGGTCGGGGTGCGGGGCCAGTACCTCCTTAAACCGGGGGTGGGCAGCGTCTCCCACGAGCTGCAGAATCAGCCCTTCGCTGGTGGAGAGGAAGGCCCCACTCTGCCGCATCCGGGCCAGTGCCACCAGCCTGTCCACCTGGCTGGGAGAGGCAGGAGGGCTGTTGGTGCCTTGGCCGGGCCACCCGGGTCCCTGGCACGCTAAGGAGGGACCCCACTCCCCGGTTCTTCCTGGGCACCCCATCTGTACCCCATGTGCGTCCCCCCAGCAGGATCCGCTCACTTGCGAGAGGAGCAGGCGTCCACCACCACGTGGACCTGCAGCCCGCGATCCAGGAGGTCCAAGGCTGTGTTCTGGGGGCACAGGCAGGAACAGGGATGAGAGGGCTGGGTCAGGGCAGGATGGGAGCAGCAGGCAGACAGGGGTCCTGAGTAAGGATGAAGGTCCCAGGTCCTGCAGGGATGGGGTCCTGCCAGGACGGAGGGTTCTGGGCAGGGAAGATGCAGTTAGTGGGAGGAGGGGTCTCACCAGGATGCAGGCGTGTGTCTCGATGCCACAGAGGAGCACAGAACGCAGCTGGGGCCGGGTGTCCAGCTCCTGCCGCACTGCGGGGACCATGCTGAAGCAAGTTTTGGCCACTGGCCGCAGGCCTCCAGCCCCCAGCTCAGGCACCGTGGGGCCCAGGCCTACTGGATACTGCTCTGTCAGTACAGCAGGCACCTCCAGGAGCCTGGCCACCTGTGCCAGAAAAAGAGACAAAGGCCTGAGCCCGAGGGAGGGGTCTGTGGGGTCAGACTCCAGGGTCTGAGGGAGGAGGGGGTTGGGGGCCTGGACTCCTGGGTCTAAGGGAGGAGGAGGCTGTGGGCCTGGACTCTTGTGTCTGAGGAAGGAGGGGCTGGGGGCCTGGACTCCTCGATCTGAGGGAGGAGAGGCAGGGGGCCTGGACTCCTCGATCTGAGGAAGGAGGGGCTGGGGGCCTGGACTCCTCGATCTGAGGGAGGAGAGGCAGGGGGCCTGGACTCCTGGTCTGAGGGAGGAGAGGCAGGGGGCCTGGACTCCTGGTCTGAGTGAGGAGGGGCTGTACCTTGAGCATGCGGGCAGCCACAGAGACAATCTGGGGGAAGTATGCAATATGGCGGAACTTCTCCTGCATGTCGCACAGGAATAGGATGGATGATCCGGGGAGGACTCGGCCCAGGTTGGGCCCCACAGCCGCCATGTCCTGGGGTTGGGCAGAGGTGCTGAGGGAACAGGGTCAGATGGGCCAGGGGCTTCTCTGCACACCCAGCGTCCCTGTACATAGACCCTTGAGGGTCCCACACGGGGCTTTGGAAACCATCGTCCTCCCACCTGCAGGCCACTGTATCTGCGGTTCCCGGTCCCTGGAATCCGTTTCTTTCTTAGTGTGTCCTACTCAGCCGTGAGATCACATTCCAAAAAACCTTCTCTGACCTTGATCGCCCCGGTGCTCCCAGCCTCACTGTCCCAGGGCCCTGGGAAGCCTTCTCCTTCCTCAAGGTCACCCTCTCTCCTGCCACATTGCAGGCTGCAACTGCGATCCTCGCCCAGCACTCGGGGGAGAAACTGAGGCCTGAAGGGACCCATCCAAGGGCCCCCAGCAGCTAACAGCAAGCTGATTTGATTCCTGAGGACAAAAGAGCCTGGAGCTGAGTTCCTTCAGGTTGGACTCCTCCCACTCGGCCTCTGAAACTCAGTTTACCCCTATGTGCAATGCCCAGGCTGCACAACCCCTACAGGTCCTAGACAGGAAGGCTGGGGTCCCTCACAGAGGAATGTTATCCCCCCATAGAAAGGAACGGAGTGCTGCTCTGTGGGACATCATGCATGAACCTCGGAATCGCTGCGCTCTGGGAGAGGGGCCAGTCGCTGAAGGCCCCACACTGTGCGAGCCCGTGTATATGAACTGTCCGCAGGCATCAAGCCCGAGGCAGGAAGCAGACTGGTGGCTGCTGGGGGCAGGGAGCGACCAGGACTGACCCCCTGAGGCGTTCAGTTTCCATCTGGGGTGATGAACACATTCTGGAACTAGGTGCTGGCCAGTTACGCAATGTCATCAGTGTTTGTAATGGCCACTTCATGCTGCGTTTAAAAATGGCGGAAATGGTAAATTTCATTACATGAACTTTAGAGGGAGAGAGAGAAGGAAGGGGCGGGGCTGGTGGAGCCATCTGCCCAGCAGCCCTTCTTGGGGGGGTGGTCCACAGAGACCCAGAGGGGTCCCCAATTTGCCTGAGGTCCTGCAGGACTAGAGGACAGCAAGTCTCCCAGTCAGAGTGGCTTCTCTCTAGCACCTGAGGCCCTGCCTCCCCAACTCTCAGCATGTCCCAGCCATGTCCCCAGGAGTCCTTGGGCCTTGAGAGCTTGAGTCCTTGGGTCCCCAAGTTGCTGCACAACTAGAGGGCTCTGGCCAGGCTTCCACGCACAGCTCTCATCCCCTCTGCGTTCTCACTCGTTTGCTCTCCTTAATTTATCTGGGACACAGGAGACACTGCTGGCCCAGTGGAAGGACAAAGGGTTAACATAGGGGAGGTGTGAAGGCGGGGTGGTGAGCACACACAGGCGTGTAGGGGGTTCTCTCAAACACATCTACCGCAGAAAAATGTTTTCTATGGGCAACTATCTAAAACGTAAAAACCCATGGATGCTTACAACAGGGAGTTTTATGCTATGTGAATTTTCTCTAAGAACAAAACGGCACGGCGTCTCCCACAAAAACAGTATCACACTGAATGAGCTAATCACCTAATTACAACCGTGATCAGTGCTGGGATTTCTAGGGAACCTGATCTATCTTGGCGGAGTGCAGAATTCTCACCAAGGAAGCGGCCACCAGAGAGAGAGGGAGAGAAAACAGTCGGAAAACACAAAGTGCATTCTGCCGCTCCCCTGTCCCAGCCCGCACCCTCCCGCGTGGCTGCTTCTGTCCTCAGGACTAAAAAAGGTGACCCCGCTCCCGCAAGGCGCTGAGAACCCCTCCAGCCTCGGCCAGGTCGTGTTGCCCCGCCAGGACTTTTCCCTGTGGTTCCCTCCCACTGCGGTGCTCAGTCTCACTTCCAATCCCTTGAGTCTTCAGGAGGCAGGAGGGTCAAGGTCAGATCAGGGTTCTCTGGAGCAAGAAGGATTTCCCCAGCCCGCCGGGAGGGGTGTGGATTGCGACAACCCCGAGGGAAGCACGTGGGGCCACATTTCTCAAAACCGGAGTTATATGAACCCTGTGACCCAGAAAACTTGCTCCTGAGTGTTGGCCTCGCAGACACACAAGAGAGATGACACCAGGTTATTCACCACCAGACCTAGGTTACAAATCATGGGACTCTTCCCCGGAGCGAAGGAAGAGAAATCAACCTGAACATCTGCGGCTGAGGTCCTGCCCGCCTACGTCACGGCCGGTACACACTACGGAATCCTCCGCAGCCAGGAAGAGCACCAAGGAAGCTCTTTAAGTAACAGTGTGGAAAAGTGTCCAAGAGAGGTTAGCAGTGCAATGAAGCAGCACGGGACATCTGTGCCCCAATCCGGGAAGAAAAGCCAGCGGAGCCCTCCTCTCTACACCGACCACGTACTTCAGGCGGGGGAGCAGGTGTCCACCAGGTGTGAAGATTTTATTTGCACCGCTCTGTTCCTTTTGGATTTTGGACAATGTGTGATTGGTTGTCTGGTCCATAACAACTAAAATACAATATAATCTTCACGTAAGGTGAGAACCCAGCAAAACCAGTCTGTGGTGGTAAAGTTATGAATGAATGGTTATCCTTGGGTGGCAGTGAAGAAGGGAGTTCGGGGGCGGGGGGGGGGGGCTTCTGGGATGTGGGGGATGTTCTACTTCTGGCTGGGTTCAAATGCTGTTTACACCAGAGTGTTTGCTGTGTATTTGTCATTTGTGTGGTTTTCCTGCATATGCAGTATACCTCCGTTAAAAAGTTTTCAAAATATCAGATAAAACGGGGGAGGCCTCACTGTCCTCTGTGGGGCTGGACCGGAGCGAGAGGCCAGGAAGGAAAAACCAGGGCTGCAGTCCAGGTGGGCAAGGGTGAGGCCTGGGCTCTAGGTCAAGGAGAGAACAGAGGGATTCAGGGTTAGGTGCAAATGGCTGTGGGGTAAGGGGGAAGGAGGAAGATCTTCGGGTTTCTGGTTCATGGGTGGCAGGTCCCAGAGACTAACTGGGGACCTGGAGAGGGGAACTGGTTTGGGGAAGAAGATGGAAAATTGAGAGCGGGGAATCTATGTGTGTGCGTGGGCATATGGGGAGGTCTGGGCTGGAGACGGATCTGGGGGTGCCCTGGGGGAGTGGTGAGAAGGTACAGAACTGAGCTCTGGGTGGAGGGAGTCCAAGGCTGGAGGAGGAGGGGCAGCAGCAGGGGAGGGGTGCCGCTTAGATCCCCACGTGGCCTGGGGGGTGGGCAGCCCTGCAGTAGTGTGACCCTGGCTGTGTGACCCTTCGCAAGTTTCACGCTCTGTCTAAGCCTGCAAACAGGGGTCAAAGCCACCCACCCCACGGCGATGATGCAAACCTCGGCCAGGGATGCAGACGGGGCGGGCACGACCCGTGGAGGGCTCGAGTCCCTGACCAGCCAGTTCGGCAGGGACTGGGCAGGCGTCCTCCCCTTGGGGAGGACTGGCCTGGTAAAGCCTCAGTTTCCCCACCTGCAAGGCGGGAAGATCGGTCCCCCTGCAGCGCTCGGGGCCAGAGGCCTTACCCGGAAGATGCCGGGCCCCAGGGTGGCCCAGCCCTCCGCTGGAGAGGCCCGGGGGACACTCACCTCTCCGAGGCCGGACTAACGCCGCTCAGCCCCTCTCGGCCAGTTCCAAGGCCGGGTTACCGTTTCTTAGGTCGCCACACTTGGCCCGCCCCCGCGCCCGCCCATCCAGGCCGAGCCGCCCAATCGGCGCTCGCCAAGCTCGGTTCCGCCCCTGCGGCCGGCCAATCCACGGGCGAGGCTGTTTCGCCCTCCGTGGAGGGGCGGTGCCGGGCACGCTGGCAACGTTGAGAGCGTGACTGGCCCGCCTGCGGGAGGGGGCGGGAAGGCAGCGCCTCCACCAATGGGGAGCCGCAAAGGCCGTGAGTGGCGGGCCCGGGGCGAAACAGCGCCGTGGGGTGCAGAGAGCGAACTCCAGCTGGACAGGTGGGAAGCGGCCACCCCCATTGTCCATACAGGTCCTGGGAGGCCGAGGAACAGGGAGGGAGGAGCGTACCCAGGGCAGAGGCAGGCCTGGGGTTCGAACGCTGGCGCTTGTGGGTGGCTAGAGACAGGAACTTATCAAGAGACCCGACCACTTTCCAGGAAAGTGACTTAAGCCCTCCTCACCCTGCTCAGCCTCAGTTTCTCCTTCCGTACGGTACCTGCCTCCTAGGGTGGTGTTTGGCAGTTTGTTTGTTTTGCGTGGTGTCTGTAATATTTAGACTCTGTGCTTGGAAATGGGGCTGAGGAAGAGTTGGGGAGAGAATTCCCCCATCAGCCTTGGAATAAAATCCAAACTATTCCCAATTCTTGTTTGCCTTTGTGAACCTCTCTGACCTCATCTCTTACCACTTGCCCTGCTCACACTGCTCCAGCCCACCTCAGGGCCTTTGCACATGCTGTTTCCTCAGCCTGGAGCTCCAGAACTTTGCTTAAACCCCTCCTTGTCATTCAAGGCTTTCCCTGACCACCTGATGTCAAACAGCCACTCAGTCAAGTTTCTCTTTTATTTTCTTCACAGCACTAATTCCAATCTGAAATCGGAAATTTATCTTGCGTTAAAAAAATGTACAAATGTCCTCATTGTCAGTTCCCCCCTACCCGTACCCGTGCCCCACCCCCTTAGATGCTGACATCTTGTCTGTTTACTCACTGCTGAATCCTCAGCACCTAGATGGGGCCTGACACATGGTGGGTGCTCGGTACATATTTGGGAATAAATGAGACAAGACCAGACATTAGGCAGAAATGAGCCAAGGTGAGGAGGCTGGAGCAGCAGACAACTGCAGAAATGGGGCTGGGAAGAAAGAAGGGAGAAGGTGGGGGAGGGAGAGTGTAAGGGGACACCCTGGCAGAGGCAGATTTGGGGGACCTGGGTGAGCAGAAGATGTGGTCTGAGGTGGGAGGAGTCCGGGGGTGGCTCATGCTCCCAGGAGTTGCCGGGAGGGGAGTGGACAGGGCAGGGGGCTCCTGGGGGCAGCTGTTGAGCTAACGTAAGGGTGGCCTCTGATTTGTCTGGGGGCGGTGGGCCTGGGTTGGGTCGTGGTTGAACATTATGGGGAGCAGGTCCCCCAGCCCTCAGGGATTCCCTGAGAACGGCAGGCACAGGGCACCTCCCACCTGCCCACCCAATCCCCCTCAGAAGCCCAGGGCCCGTCCACACCCTCCAGGGCATTTGAGGGAGGGGGTGGGGGATTATAGAAATGTAAAGCCTGCCTCAGGTCTGGCTGGCCCCAAGTGCAGCAGGACAACTCAGATGGCACTGAGGGACACTCTGAGGTGAGTGCAATATCATCAAAGAGGTCTAGGGTGGAGGCGTCCAGGGCCGCGAGGCTCAGGCTGGGGCTGGCATAGGGTGCCTCAGTGGGAGCCACAGCACAGGCCACCCCCAGGAAGGGGGACGGAGGCGGCGGGGGTGGTCTTCGGGGCAGAGGTCTCTGTGGAGGTGCCTCCTGGGACAGGATAGACAGGGCCAGCTCCTGGGTGGCAGCTTCAATCTTGGCAAACTGCCTGTAGGGAGACAAGCATTACTAGCCATGAAGCATCCCCCTGCCCCCATCTGCCATCCCAGGACCAGTTTTTCCCTTCTCCTCCTCTCCATTTTTCTACTCTGGGCTACCTGGTTTCACTTTCTTGAGTCTGACGACTCAATTTTTCTAACCCCGTTCACAGGGGAGCTCTGAACAGCTGTGGGGGTTGTGTACTGCACAAGGTGGCACCTCTGGTTCAGGACAATGCACATTTTTGACATTTAGACTTATTATGGCCACATCCCAACATATAAAAGTAAAAAACATCTGAAGGAAAGGGTGCCTTAAAAAGTGTCTTCCACACAAGGCATGCCGTGGGCTGGGGGGCATGTGTAACAGTGACGCCCTGTGGATTCCGCTCCCTACAGAGCTCTTGAATCTGCCCACCTCCACATCTCCACCAATCCTTGGTGAAGTCTCCATCATTTCCCATCTGGATGACCACAATAGCCACTGCACTGGTCTCCCTTAGCGTTCCTACCCCTCAAGAACTGTGTGGACGGATCTCACAAACGGTGATGGGCTCAGTTACGTCTCCCTGAAATTCATAGGCTGGAGGTTGAACCCTCAGTGCCTTAGAACATGAGAAATCAGGAGGGCAGCTTACGGGAAGGAGACCCCATGAGCACCTCTGGCAGCATGAAGGGCCCTGTTCCTGGATCTGAATGTTGTTTACACTAGTGGGTTCCCTTTGGGGAAATTCATCAAGCTCTACGCTGGTACTGTGTGCATTTCTTGTAGTTGCTAAACTTCCAGCAGAGGTTTTACTTAAACAGGTAGCTGACATTGTATGCTTCTGTTGACGTGAAATGTCCAGAATAGACCAGTCCCTGGAGACAGGAAGTGGACTGGTGGCTGTCGGTGCTGGGGGAGGGGGCATGGGAACGACTAGCAATGGGTATGAGATCTCCTTGAGGGGGATGAAAATGTTCTGGAACCCAATAGAGGTAATTGCTTGCAAAACATTATGAATATACAAAACACCAATGAACTGTACACTCTAAGACATTCAAAATGGTGAATTTTATGTTACGTCTATTTTACCCCAAGAAAAAAGGCTCATAAATAAATTAGTGTGAGATGCCACTCCAGAACTCTCTTTGATGCCAGGGAGAATAGCTTTGCTCTGAGTCCCCAGGGAAAATGTTCAGAAATGGGAGGTCAGGTTAAATGGCACAGGATGGGGGTGGGAAGAGAGAGAGGAGGAGTTGACTTGAACAGACTCAGTATAAATGACATTTAGGGCTGAAGAGTCATGACATTTGTGATTCGCTTGAGCTATTTTAAGAAGATAGAGGAAGGGAATAGGCTAAGATGTTATGGGCAGTGAAGTCTGATTGATGGTACGTGAGTGATCTTTAGACCAGCGGTTCTCAAACTTGAGTGCACAACGGAACATCTGGAGGGCTTTGGCAACACAGGCCCTTGGGCCCCTGAGGTTTGGGTTCTGCAGGCCTGGGGTGGTGTCCACGGATCTGTGTCTCTGGCACACGCCCACGCCGTGCTGAGGGGCTGATGCTGCGGGTCTGGGGACCACTTTTTGAGAACTGCTGTGTCAGACCGCTGTCTTGACTTTTCTGTAGGTTGGAAGTTCTTCACAATAAAAAGTCAAAAATCCACATGCATGGGTGGGAGGGGGCCCTTGAGGGAGCAGGGCCTGAGGGGATCTGGAGGGAGGAGGAGGACGTGGGTGGGAAGGTGCCGAGGATAGTTTGCCTCTGACCTGGATTTTCTCAGGTCGAGGCTGGGTGCTCAGGGGGATATGCTGCAGAGCTTCCCCAGGCTGCCCATGAGGCAACTCGTGGGTGGCCTGGGTCTCCAGGGAGCGTGTGGCAGAGCCATGCATGGGGCTGGGCATGTCTGGGATGCTACAGGGGAGAAGTTGGTCCTGGGGGAGCAGGGAGGTTGATGGGGAAGAGTAGATGGGGAACCTGGGAGGTGAGAGGCTGGCCTCAGCCCAGGGTCTGGACTGGAGGTGGGCAGGGAACCCAGATGGGGTTGGAGATGGGGGGGGTCCTGGAGTGGTTGATGAGGGGCTGAAGAGCAGTGAG